AAGGCCTGGAGTGAGGGGGCCTGCCTCACCTCGGGGGCAAGATGTTCCAGAGGGCGGGGGCCACAGCAGAGAAGGCCCGCCTTCTGGATCCCGCTAAACGAAGTTCTTTTACCGCAGGGATCCGAAGCATGCCCTCTCTGTGAGATTGGGTGGGACGGGTTGATAGTTGGTGTATCAGCCTAAACTGGTGAAAGGTGTTTTGTGCTACAGAGGCCATTTGTGCCTGAAAAATCAACAGTGAATCCAGGAGTACCTCCAAGCTATAAGTGAGAAATACAATGCCATCCAGAATCCCAGTCACCTGGGCATATGCCATCCACTGGCAGAACCTCTCTCTTGTCTAGATTGAGCTTCAGTGTTTGGGGTCTCATTTAGTCCATTATTACAGGGAGGCAATGGCTCAACAATTGCACCAAAGCCGGTGAAAAGGAGAAACAGAACTTGGTACCATCAGCACACTGATCACATTTTATTCTATATCTCTGAATAACCTCTCTTAGGCGTTTCATGTAGATGTTGAATAGTGTTGAGAATAAAAATGGAATCTTATAGAATCCTATTCTGTAAACCCAAGCAGAATTCTCCAATATTGCTTTCTAGACACTATCCAGTAATGAGCTGAATTACTTCAAGATTCTTCAATTCACACTAAGCTTGGGTAACCAGTCCAGAAAGCCATCATCTTTAATGGTATTGAAAGCTGCTGAGAGATCCAGGCAAATCAAGAGTTCTCCATTCAAAAGGGCAACAAAAGCATTTCTGTGCCCACAGCTTCCTTAAAATAGAATGAAAATGGATTTAGAAAATCCATTTAGAAAATCTATTTCATCAAAGAGTGTTTGATCAATCATAACATTCTCAAGCATCTTGCCCAGGAAAAGGATGTTGGCCACTGGCTTGCAATTTATATCTTCTGGGTCCAGTTATGCTTTTTGCAAGAATGATCTTGTGGCCTTCTTTAATGAGGCTAGGATGACTCTCTTTTGTAGGGAGGAATTTAGAAGCTGCTGGACCCAACTGAGCACCTCCTTCCCACTTAATGTGATAAACTGTGAGGTGCAGTGGTCAAGCAAATATATTGTTGGCTGAACTTGACCAACCACTCCATTTAGTTAATCAAGTATTAAAAACTAAAGTCTGGGCTCAGGATATTTCTGCAGACTAAACTGCCAAAACTGTACATTGTAAGTCGTGAGAAATGTGATAGATTTTACCCTCAGTGTCTAGTAAATAAAGGCTTGCTTTATTACCCATGAAGAGACTGAACTGGGAAAGGAAAGTCAGCAGCAGTTGTATCAACTTCCAGGGACATTTCTGTATTTCACAGGGCAGCCAGATCCTTCCCCAGAGCCTTTTAGAATCTTTTAGAAATCATCTGCCTCCAAGGACAAACCTCTGGAATAGAACCCTAACATTATAAATAGGAATAAAGGTTGCTGCAAACCTAAATCTGAATAGGAAGTGGTATGACAAGGGTAAAATCCTCTATTTTCAGACCACTATTCTCCTGCCCAGTTAATAAACCTAAATTCAGACTAGAAACTGTCATATGCATTGGGCCAGTAAAAGTTGAGACACGTTCATACCTGGTGTGGCATATATGAAATGTGAGCAATCCCAACCAAAGCATTCCAAACATGCATATTGAAGATTCCCATAATTAACTTTCTAGGAGTCTTAGGAATACTAAGTCTGACATAACCTCCATCAGTTCAGAGGTTATCTCAGACTGGATGGGGGGGGGGCGGATAAACCAGCAGAATCCTCAGCCTGTCCTGAGTTCCACTGCAAGATGCAAAACTACTTTGACACTTCAATAGGCAACAAGTTGAGAGGAAAAAAGAGAATTCTTATAAACGACAGCAGTTCCCCCTTCCTGATTGTATGAGGGACATTGGGAGCTAGAGATTCTCAGAGCAGGAATATCAATTATGTCAACACCCAACAGTCTCAGCTCTAAAGTTGAGAATTGCAAGGTAAAATGTCCAGGCCTAGAAGTAATGCAGGATGTAGCAATGATGTTCCTGGAGCAAGAGTGGCAGGAGTTAGTGCTGCTTCTGCTTCTGCTTCTCCATAACAGTATATTACATTTGTTTGTGTGCGTGTGTGTGATAGAGATTGAGAGATTCCTAAACTCTTCAGAAATACATTCATCATTGTAAGTTGTAAAATTGCTTCATCTATCCTGTTAGGACATTTCTCATTATTTCAGAAATGATTTGATTATATGAAACATGTCATTTAGTTAACTCTTGTGATCTTCCTGCTGAAGCATTAAAGGATATTACCATATCTTTTGAATAATATGTTTTGGTTTTACACTTTTTTCTTTAAGAAAATGGGAAAACATTTTTATGATGAGAAAAATGTGCACACACACTGTAGATAAGTTTGCAAGAGATAAAAGTTTGGTGAAATTCAGTTATCTCCCATTATTTAAACTACAGTTCTTGAGAACATCCCAGTGACTAAAAATTGCTGGGAGTATAAGGAAGAACATTTTTACAAATGCACGGTATAAAGATCATGTATTCATGAGTGGTACTGCAAATATATATTTCTTGCATTGTATCTTCTAGGCAATACAATTAATGAAGAAAGAAATAACTCAGCAGATAAAACTTCATTGTCTGTGACTGGAACTCAATTTGATCATACTTCACAGGTCAGAAATCCCTCATCTGCTTTTTTGAAAAATATGAAGTTGAATTAGGGCTATCAGATCTGGGTTGCAAAATTACAGACAGCCATTACATGGCAGCAAAGAGGCACTGAAAACTAACTTTTTGCTTCCATCTATTTGTAGTCTAGATATTTGCAGCCCAGATAACTCACTACAAGGATTGCTGAATATCAACATTTGCTTTTTTATTTAGTTAAGGTTTTAAAAATAATTCTGTCATAAACCACTCAGAATAAGAGAATCAACAAGCAGCTCAAGCCAATATCTGGCAACTGAACTGGAGTTCTGTCTGTTATGTGAAGTGTTGCACTGCTGGTGTATGACAGCATTATTTAATGTTATTAATGGGGTTGTGGTATTTATCTTTAAATTGTGCATGTATTGCTATCACTCTCATTTATAGTGCTTTAAAACACTATTACCGTGGGTAATGATGAATAAGTCATATTTATAGATATGTATTTATTCTGCATATTAAAACTAAAATTTGTAACAGTATAAATTTTAAAACTGTTGTATGCAAGCAATTCAATTACTGCTAGATTAAGGAATGTAAACTTGCTTTTGGACTTCCTGGGGAAGATGGTGGATTGAAGACAACACCGTGTAAAGTGGAGCCGACATCTGCGAACTTTAATAAGGAGCTGATTAATATATCAGCTGCTATAGTCCTCTCTGGATAAAAGAAATGGCGAGATTGCCCAAGCTGTTTCTTCTTGCAATTGTTCCTTTTCCTCACAGAGAGACCATAAGACAGTGATCTCAGGTGTGTGTGTGTGTGTGTGTGGGGGGGGGAATTGGGAGGCAGGGGAATTCTCCATAATTGCTCAAGCCACAAATGGAGCCTTTTTTTTAAAGAACACTAAGTTTGTACGTTTTCCTTGCTAACTACCTTCTAATTGCCTATTAACTGCTTCAAAGAAGTTAGACACCTGCAAAGTGACAAGGCTGAAAATAGCCAATGAGTGCCTTCAATCCTTAATATAAGAGTATGAAGATTTTATTTTTATAAGTTTTAAGAACTAAAAATAAACAGCAAAAAGCAAGACGTGGTTTTGACTACAGAAAGTTTTTAAACAGATTAAGGGCTCAGAAAGCATTAAAAATATTACACAGTTGGTAAATTAAAACAAATATGAAATTTAATAGATATAGAGAGCTGTTGCAATATAGTGGTTCAGATGTTGGACTGGGAACAAGAAGACTAGTTTAATTTCCCTTCTCTACCATGGAGTTCTGTAGGTGACTATGAGTCAGGCACTATTTCTCAGCCTAAATTACTCTCCAGGACAGTTGCTGTAATGATAAAATGAGAGAACACATGTCATGTGTGCCACCTTGAGCTCCCAGAGGAAAAGTAGAAAATATAATGTGTGAAGAACAATAATTATAATTAATTTGTTGCTGATCAGAAAAAAGTCAGAGGTTCACTGGCAACAGAAGGACTGACTCTGCAAACAGAAGCATATAGCCAGGAAATGTAAGGAAGGCAAATTCCCTCACATATAATTAGGAACTATGCTTCATGCATAACTTCAGTAAAATCTGACCCTTAGGACTGCAGCTGCTCATATTTCTGCTATTTTTTCTTCTTTATTTACTCTCATGCTTTTTTAAATTATGTGTGGAGTGACAGTTGCCACCATTCTCCTGCCTGTATATCTGCAGAAATAATTTAAGATGGCAGACAGCAATGAGTGACTTAAAATCTAGTTATTCACAAAATCTTATATAGAGTATTGGTTCCAACATATCTTCTGAACTGCGCTAGTGCTTTTGGAGAATTTTTTGTTAGTTTGTTTTTGGTACCTTCAAGTCAGTTTTTGACTCCTGGCAACTGCCTGGATGAGTCCCTGCAGTTTTCTTGGCAAGGTTATTCGAAAGTGGTTTGCCATTGCCTTTTTCCTAGGGCTAAGAGAGAATGACTGGCACAAAGTCACCCAGCTGGCTTCATGCCTAAGGCAAGTCTAGAACTCACAATCTCCCATTTTCTGGTGTCTTAACCATCACACCAAACTGGCTCTCCTCCCAAACTCCTTTTGGAATTACTCGTATGGAAATATAGGTATTTTTTAAAAAATGGGATTGGCTGTGGAAACCTTCTCTGAGACATGTAAATTTAGCTTAATAATTTAAGTGAAGAATTATACATTAGTAATATAACCCATGTTTAAAAAATCATCCAATCTTTTTTCCAAAAATCAAATTAAGTTTATGCTTATGACCCATGATAATATACTGTATTTATCGGCGCATAACACACACTTTTTTCCCCTAAAATTTGGGGCTGAAATCCTAGTTGCGTGTTATATGTCAATATACCCTGCGACTTCTCACCTCAAGTGGCAGGGCTGGGAGAGCAAAGCGCCGGCAGCTGGGACTGCATTTCTTTTTTGGCAGCCGCTGCAACCCAGTGCTGCCGCTCCAGATGGCCGCAGAGAGAGGCATGGAGCCCGTGCTGCGCCATGCTGCCCCGGTGAGGGGATTGGCGCTCCTCCGAAGGCTGCACCACACCATTGGGAGCACGGGAGAGTCCGGAGACACGGGTTCTCCAGCACTCAGTATCAGAGCAAAGCGCAAAGAGCAGATCCGCAGGTTTGCTAAAACGGAGGGGGCAGGGAGCCACGCGCCACCCATTCACCAGGCCTCCGACTTTCCAAACCAGCCGCTGTCCCGAGCACACTGCGCCTGGAGGAGAAAGAGTTAAGCGCTGGTGTGTGTGTGTGTGTGCGCACACATATTTGTGTGGTATTCCTCCTCTGCCACTCGGTGATTTTGAGTGGGCTTGGAACAGGAAAGCCAGGAGCTTCCGGGTAGAGCGGGGCACCTCCCTCCGCACTGAGCCTCTGACTTTGCCCAGGCTGAGGGACCATGCAGTGCGGAGAGGTGAGCATTGCGCGCCATGCCACTCCAGCAAAGCTGCTGGAGAACTCGGGTCCCTGGACTCTCCCGTGCTCCCAACGGCACAGTGCAGCCTTCGGAGGCCAATCCCCTCACCAGGGGTGGGGGCAGGAATAAAAACCGCACAACTAGACAACCCGTGACCCGTTGGGTTATTGTTAGATATTTCCTTACCTAAACAGAGAAACAGAATGACCATGGGCAAAAAAGCAGTGGGAGCGTGAGCGACTTGTGACTTGCTGCCAGCTTCCCCATTGACTTTACTTGTGGGAAGCTGGCAGGAAGCATCAGAAATCTTCCTCCCTCCCTCCCTTTCCACATATAATATAGGTTTGCACCATTTGCCCTCCCCTGATGACTTTGGGGAGAGTTCCTGTGAAGCCTCCTCCTTCTCAACTGACCTACAGAACTGCCTGCCACTTTGGGGGGGGGGAGGTAGAACAAAAGGAGCCACAGACTGTGAGGAATACAGCACCCGCGCTCCCCATTCCCAAGGGCCCCCTCCCTTGAGGGAGGAAGAGAGCTTACTCATTGACTGCCAGCACCCCCCAGCTAGCCCTACCTTGCCAGCAGGCATCCAAGTCGCTCCCTCATCTTTCCCTCAATGTCCACCACCATTAAGAGATTTCAGATTTCAGCCTCAGTTCCAAAGCAGTCAATTGCTGCTTGCCCGTCAGGCTTGCTGCCAGCCAATTGGGCACAGGGGCCAGAAGGAGGCAGGAAAGAGGTTAGGGATCTCTCCCTCCCTCCTTCCCTCCTTTTCCACATATAATATAGGCCTGTGTTTGCACTATTTGCCCTCCCCTCACAACCCTCAGGAGAGACTCTGTGAAGCCTCCTCCTCAGCTAACCCACGGAACTGCCTGCCACTTTGCTGGGGGGGAGGCGGAACAAAGGGAGCTGTGGATTGCAAGGAAAACTGCACCCCTGCTTCTCATTCTGATATGTCCCCAAGGGCCCCCTCCCTTGAGGGAGGAAGAGGGCTCACCAGTCAACCATAGGCGCTCAACAGTCAGCCTTACCTCACCAGCAAGCATCCAATTCATGCCTCATCCTTCCCTCAATGCTCACAGCCGTTAAGAGTTTTCAGATTTCTGCCTGGTTTCCAAAGCAGCCAATCGCCACTTGCTTATTGGGCCTTGCCACCAGCCAATTGGGCACAGGAGACAGAGGGAGGCGAGAAAGAGTTGGGGATACTCCCATGACGATCACATGACCTGGGCTGGCACAGCACGGTGGCACAGCAGCACAGCCCTGCTGAAGCAGCCACAAATTTCCCAAATTTCAATCCCACAGGAATAATGGGTCCTGGACTTTGGACACATTCTGTAAATTAGTCCAATTGAGGTACCTTGGTTCAAAAAATTGTTGCCCTATGACTCACCATTTTGCCCAGTTGAAGGTTACAGACACAAGAGTTTTAGTAGTATATAAAGACAAAGAAAGTTTTTCCAGTCCCATAAAGACCCTGCAAAAAGAAGCATTTTGAGGGTCTTTTTAAACTTCAAATGTCTGACTCCAGAAGTAATTCAAAGGGAAGTTGATTCAAAAGAGAGGAACTAGGTGGGAAAAACCTATTTTAATATTGGAAAGAACTAATCAACCTTGACTGCACAATAGACCTGAGTGCACAGGAACATGAGTTGTAATCAAATTATTCAGATAATTGGATGGTCCTATATACATAGGATAGAAGGTTAGCACAGAAGACTCAAACAATGTAGAGATTGGTGAAAAGAAAGCAATAAGGGTGAATTGGGAGATTCACAGTGCTTCAGAGTGCTCTGGATTCAACAATGTTGAACCCATTTACCCGTTAGCACGTCCAGAAGGAAGCTGTGTTTTTCCTGTACTCAACGGGTAACTGTGCGATCCCAAGAAAATACACCAATGGTGTGCTTACACTCATTCCAAAACACCATATCACACCCTGTCAGTGCCTTCTTATCTTAAACATGTTTCCTTGGGATTGTGCGGCTACCGTGCAAGCTTTTTTAAGGAGGTGTTGATGTGTGCAGTGTGCTTGACCATGCCCATTTTTCAGCTTCAAATCTGAAGTGCTGCACATCCTTAATAATCAG